TAAAGCGCCGGGGCGTTGGGGGCCGGCTCCCGCGTCCTCCGGGCCTCGGGCGCCGTTCACCTCGCTCTCGCCCTCGCCCCAGGCTGCCGAGCGACGGCTTCCTGCTCCTCGCGCTGCTGCTCTACGCGCCCGTCGGGTTCTGCCTCCTAGTGCTGCGCCTGTTCCTGGGCATCCACGTCTTCCTGGTCAGCTGCGCGCTCCCGGACAGCGTCCTTCGCAGGTTCTGACTCGCGGGCTCGGGGAGCGTCAAGGCCAGGCCCGGCCCGAGGCCGCACCGTCACCACCGCCTGTGTCCCCAGGTTCGTGGTGCGGACCATGTGTGCCGTGCTGGGGCTCGTGGCCCGACAGGAGGACTCGGGGCTCCGGGACCACCGCGTCAAGGTCCTCATCTCCAACCACGTGACACCTTTCGACCACAACATAGTCAACCTCCTCACCACCTGTAGCACCGTGAGTGGGAGCGAGGCCGAGAGCGCCACCGGGGTCCCTGGGGCCCAGCTCAAGGCTCCCTTCTCCCCGCTTGGCTTCCTCCTGGGGGGTACTGAGCCTTACCCCTAGCCCCGCTAATCGACCCCACACGTCAATTTTCTCATCTCTCTTCATTCTCCCCTTGTTGTTTTTTCATTTCTCCGTTCCCAGCCTCTACTCAATAGTCCCCCCAGCTTTGTGTGCTGGTCTCGGGGCTTCTTGGAGATGGATGGGCGGGGCGAGTTGGTGGAGTCGCTCAAGAGGTTCTGTGCTTCCACGAGGCTTCCCCCCACCCCTCTACTATTATTTCCCGAGGAGGAGGCCACCAATGGCCGGGAGGGACTTCTGCGCTTCAGGTGGGTGAGCACAGGTATCAGGCCCCCACTGGGTTAGTGGTGACACTGTGGGACCTCTGATTTTCACAGTCTTCTTCAGCCCCTACATCCCCCCTCATCCCTAGTTCATGTCCCTTCTCTTCTGTCCCGGCACCCCTTTATTCCTCATTGATCTACTAGTAGATCAAACCATTGATCTGCTATTTGACAGTTTGCTGTTAAGTCAGGTATGGACTGGCTAGACATCCGTCCTGCTCTCTTCCTCTTCCAGTTCCTGGCCATTCTCTATCCAGGACGTGGTACAGCCTCTTACCCTGCAAGTTCAGAGACCCCTGGTCTCTGTGGTGAGTGTGTGTTGGACAGAGAGTCTCTGGGGCTTGGAGGGGAAGCTCCCTACCCCTGGCTTAGGCCTCACTTCATGCCTTCCCCTCAGACGGTGTCAGATGCCTCCTGGGTTTCAGAACTGCTGTGGTCACTTTTCGTCCCTTTCACGGTGTATCAAGTAAGGTATTAACTGTCCTCACTTTTTGGTGGCTGGGGAGAGGCTCACTTCAAGGACAAGAAAGCAGAGGCCTCTGCCCTGTCCATTCGTAGATGTTTTAATATCAAGGTCTACCATAGAGGCAACTCAGAGTGTTTGTTATCTCCTCACCCTTATCACCACTGTCCCATGAAAAGAGGTACCAAAATGGGGAAGGGGGTGACGGCCTGTACCCCAGGTGTCCCCAGTATGGCCCTGGGTTGCTTTTTGCAGGTGGCTTCGTCCTGTTCATCGGCAACTAGGGGAAGGGAACGAGGAGTTTGCGCTCCGTGTACAACAGGTGGTAGGGTACACAGGCAGGGTGGAGTGGGTTCCCCCCTTAGGAGAGGGGAAAGAAGCCTCGAGATCTTGACACTGACCTTCCAATTCTCCTTAGCTGGTAGCCAAGGAATTAGGCCAGACAGGGACACGGCTCACTCCAGCAGACAAAGCAGAACACATGAAGCGACAAAGACACCCCAGATCGCACCCCCAGTCAGGTGTGTGGTCTCTGCTGTACACAGAGCTTTTGGCTTCATTTCTCCTCTATTTCTGTTCATTGGCGTCTTTCCTAATTTTCTACTTATGAGATTTAATTTAATTTTGTTTGTTTTGCAGCTCAGTCTTCTTCCCCTCCTTCCCCGGGCCCTTCTCCTGATGTGCAGCTGGCAACTCTGGCTCAGAGAGTCAAGGAGGTTTTGCCCCATGTGCCACTGGGTGTCATCCAGAGAGATCTGGGTATGGGAAAGGGTGGCCTCATGCTAGCATAGACAGGCAGAGGAAAGAAGAGGGTGAGCAAGGAACAGACCCTTCTCTCTTCTCTTCTCCCCAGCCAGGACTGGCTGTGTAGACTTGACTATCACTAACCTGCTTGAGGGGGCTGTAGCTTTCATGCCTGAAGATATCACCGAGGGAACTCAGTCCCCACCCACAGCCTCTGCCCCCAAGGTGAGACCTAGGAAATGGAGAGGGCAAGATTTGGGGTTCGTTGGGGCAGTCTGCATACTCCCTCTCCCTGACCCCTCTTTTGATCCTGAGACCCTAGCACAGTGCCTCTCTTGCAAAGTAGGCATTCGATGCGTGTTTAATGACGATGACTTCGCAAGCCCTCTGACATTGTGATCACCTCAGTTCCCCAGCTCTGGCCCGGTGACCCCTCAGCCCACAGCTCTAACATTTGCCAAGTCTTCCTGGGCCCGGCAGGAGAGCCTACAGGAGCGCAAGCAGGCACTGTATGAATATGCGAGAAGGTGAGGGGCTTAGAGGACAATGAGGAGGAGAGGGCAGGGTGGAGACGGGGGGTCAGTGTGGCAAAGCCTGCACAATGTCTCTCCCTATGTCCCACAGGAGATTCACAGAGAGGCAAGCCCAGGAGGCTGACTGAGCTCAAAGGAACAGGATGGCACCCAGAGCCGCAGGCCGGAGACTGGGGGCAGCCCTCACCCAACTCACATCAGGCTGGCTGGGTGGGTGGTAAAAAGGGAGGGATGGGGCTCCCCCAATATCACATTAAATTCAGGGTTTTCACTCAAGGTCTCTGTTGCCTCTCTGGGTCTCAAAGGTCCTTGAGCAGCTTCCTTTTCCCTTGGTTGGGGTTGCAGGGCTGAGGGTCTCTAAATTTGTTGGAGGTGGTTAGAATGGAACTGTCTGAAATCACCTCCTCATGCAAAAGATGAGTGATGTTAAAGAAGCGCTACTGCACCGAAGACCTGGCGGCAACTGGACCCGGTTAGGTCTCCTTGTGAACTGCTGCAGAACTACAAGTCCCAGAATGCCTTTCACAAACACAGTACACCGACATCTGAAGAGTTCACACATGCTCGGTGTGGTGGCTGGAACCTGTTTTCTATAGGTTCCTGACTAGGTTAAATAAGGTGGAGCAAATGGCCCCACCCCAAAAGCGAGCTCCAGGATTGGAGTTTGAGCCTAGCCCCAGGGTAGAGCCGGAATTTACCTTTGTACTTCACCTAGTCAGGCTTAGTAGTGACTGGCTGGGTGGGGCTAGAGCTGGCTGCCATCCGGACACATCTCAGAGCTGCAAGCAGGTTTGAATCCAGGATCTCTGCCACCCCGCTGTCTCCCTCCTTTCTCCATATTTGCTCTTTTCCCCTCGGGACCTTCTCACAGGTTATTAGGCTTCACATTTCTGCCGAGGACCCCTGCATTTGTCTTAAGAATTCTACTACCCAACTATAGAGTAAAGGTCCACTATGACACTCCCTGTGTACACCTAGCACTGTCTCCTGTAGACAGTTGTTGGGAAGGATGGACCCCAGAGCATCACCTGAGGACAGGGCTGAGGTGGGAGGATGGTGTCAGTCAGCAAATAGGCCTTACTGGCTGCCCTGCCTTCTGTAGGTCCTGCTGGACAGCCACCATGACCTCTCAGCCTCCCGGGCTGGCAGAAGAGTCTGGCCCAAGTCTTGGGGAGTCTGAACTGGCTTTGAACCCCTTTGATGGACTCCCCTACTCTTCCCGCTACTACAAGCTGCTTGAGCAGCGCCGAGCCTTACCCATCTGGGCTGCTCGATTTATCTTCTTGGAGCAGTTGGAGAGTAGCCCCAGTGGAGTGGTGCTGGTGTGTGGGGAGCCTGGCTCTGGCAAGAGCACACAGGTGGGAGGAGATCCTGGGAGTGGGCAAAGGGAGGGGCTGTGTGTGTCAAGGGGGAGATGGGAAAGGGAAACGGGCTGGGGTGACTCCAGGGAGCTGGTGAAGGGCCCCGGTAAGGAGGGGTTAAACTGGCCACAGTTCCCCCAGTGGTTCTGACTGAAAGCCTGTTTTCCTGTCTGGTTGTCCTTCCTCACCCCTACCCCAGATCCCTCAGTGGTGTGCAGAATTTGCCTTGGCCAGGGGGTTCCAGAAGGGCCAGGTTACTGTCACTCAGCCATCCCCTCAGGCCGCCCTAAGCCTGGCTCTGCGGGTTGCTGATGAGATGGACCTGACCCTGGGTCATGAGGTTGGATACAGCATCCCCCAGGAAGACTGCACAGGACCCGACACCCTGCTCAGGTGGGGCCCTTCACAGCCTGGCTCAGATCTTGTCCTGCTCACCTGGTAGAAACAAGCTAGTCCCCTGGCATCTCACCATACCCTTCCTTAGCCCAACTCACCCTATTGATCATGCACAGTGCAACTGCTAAATTAAGCCTTGGAGCCCCAGCCAGGGCCTGAGACACTCGACCTTACCCTATGAATGTCCTGCTCCTGTTGGAGTATAGTGAACGGTGTCCTTGGGGCTGTGGGGTCACAGTTATGGGCCCACATGCTCAGGAAGCCAACCACAGCATCTTTTTCTGACTTTCCATATCAAAATCTAGGTCCCTTGGGGCGAAATTCCCCTAGACTTCTGGGGTGGCTTGGTGTCCACACTTTTGACTCCTCTCCCACTACCAATGTCAACAGGTTCTGCTGGGACAGGCTGCTTCTGCAGGAGGTGGCCTCAACCCGGGGCACTGGATCCTGGGGAGTGCTGGTGCTGGATGAGGTTCAGGAGCGGTCGGTAGCCTCAGATTCACTCCAGGGGCTACTGCGAGATACCAGCTTGGGTGACCTTCCAGGGGACCCCAAAGTGGTTGTGGTTACTGACCAAGCCTTTGAACCTAAGCTCCGAGCCTTCTGGGACAACCCTCCTGTTGTGCATGTTCCCAGAGAGCCTGGTGAGAGTCCCATTCCTGTCTACAGGGACACTGTCCCTACTAATCGGGCAGAAGCTGCCTGCCAAGCTGTGCTTGAGTTGTGCCAGAAGGAGGATCCCGGAGACGTGCTAGTGTACCTGCCCAGTGAGGAGGTAAAAAAAAAAAAAAAAAAAAAAAGAAAAATGGGCCATAAGGGGGGGGGCTGTGGGTACCCCCCC